TTTGTACGAAGTCCTCTCTTATTTTTGTAAATTAAAAAAAAAAGGGAAAAAAATTTAAAAAAAAAGGAAGAAGAAGAAGTAAGAAAATTGAAAGTCCTGAACATACAACAGAGGGGGAGCAAAAAAGAAGTCCAAAAACAGACCACAAAGCTACAACAAAACAAACCAGTACTACTACCGGACCCACTGCCTTGAGCTTTCCATTCAACTAGTGTGTGAGTTACTTTTTCCTTTTTTCTTCTTTTTTCTTTTTTCTCTTTTTTCTTTTACTTCCATAGCTTGATAAACTTGTCGTGGCTGGCCGAAGCGACAAGACCCGACACTGTGGACACCGCTAAGGCGGATATTAGACCTTCATGAGCTGCCAGAGTCATCGTCTTGTTCTCGGTTGTGTTCCAAAGCTCTAACGACTGCATCAATCAAGACAAACGTGGAGGTGAGGGGGGAATAAGGTAACTATTTGATCATTCGAGGCGCATCGCAAACAAACCAACAGTGTAAAAACTACGAAGAGAAATTATGTTTATTTAAGAACATGAAACACGTGTTTTTCTTCGTCTTCCTTCTCGTTTTGGGGGAAGGGGAGTGTGGATAAGAGGACTTGCCTGATAACATCCGATGACCAGCAAAGTAGAATAGGTGGGATGGAAAACGCAAGAGTGGAACTTATTGCCGTTACAGCTCAACTCGTGAATGGATTCACCCTCATTCCCTGAAGCAAGCGTCCACACTCGAACAGAATCCTCGCTAACGGATGCAAGGAACTCTCCAGAAGGATCCCAGCAAAGAGAATGAACCGTTTTGGTATGTCCCTATACTTAGAAGTACACATTTCAACCAAAAAGTAAAATTCAACCCACATTGGAATGGAAGCAAAATACTACAAGAAATTTCAGGACCATAAAATCAGCCAAGTCTAGAAACAAACATGAAAACAGAATTCGAAAAACAATCACACATAACTGCATGACATAATGGCACCGAAAAAGCATATATTTAGAGAGATTCCAAAAGTTTTTTTCGAATAGGAAACAATTTAAATGAAATTGTTGCAAATAAGGAGCAGCAAAACAAATGCATACATCTAGAGGTACTATTTTAAGCAACTGCCAAAAAGAACCTCTAATGCTGAACATAAAATGAATGTGATCTCTTGGGTTGACATTCAACTAGCTTAAATATGGAATACTGATGAATAATGCACATGAACAAACAACAGCATATCTTTGGCAGATGGCACAACTTCAGATATAAACTGACCTGTAACGAATGCCGACACTGTTTAGTCTCCACGTCAAAAATGGATACAATATTATCTGCAGCAGCGGCGAGGTACCTTCCAAGACGAGGTTGAAATCTCATCTGGCCTGTACCACCCTAAATTACACAAGGCAGTTAGAATCTAGGTACTGTAGCCTAAACAAGAAGTCCAACCAAAAGAGCATGCAAAAAAGACGAGCTAAGCTACTTATTAACCATGAAAAAGAAAGATACCTTGAATAGTGCTGCACAGCTGCCATTGTTGATACTCCAGTACCGAATCTCACCATCGCCATCACAGGAGCAGATAAGGTCATCCTTCTTCGGATGGAAGTCCAAAGACATAACAGAAGCAGAATGTCCCGTAAAAGTACGTAGTGAATAACAAGGCTGCAGGTCAAAGTACTGATTGAGATACAGCAGACATATTGTAGAACTTCTTTGAATGGAGCGAATAAAAGCAAATAAATAAATAACTAACTGTAAAGCTGTTATCATGAAATAATTTCTAGTAGAAGTTAAAAAACGAAATTAAGAATATTGATTATAATAAAAATTCCACTCCCTTTATCACAACTCTCCCATACTGTGGCCGAAACTAACTGTGTAATCTCCTAGTTTCTACTCTCAGACAAGAATGTCAATGAAACAAGATGATAACCATGGGTGGTCGGTTGATAGGGTCCATTGGTAATATATACTTGATCAACTTAAAATAGTTTTTAAAATTTGTCATAAAATGAAGATATAAGCTTTATCCATACTTTATAAGCAAATATTTGCAGAGGTTATCTAGATTATCTATCTGTAGGGTGAAAGACCAATGACTAAGGATAGAGACTCGAGTTAAATCAAATACATAGAGAATACTAACATTGTCAGCATCCCAAACCCGGACTGTTCTATCAAATGATGACGTCGCGAGGCGGGGAATGCTAGGACTGAAACGAACATCAGTGATCATAGAAGCATGTTCTTCAAGTGAAGTTTTCGGCTTTAAATTTTCTGTGTACCACAGTACAGCCTGCACAACCATCATCATAAACCCACAAGAAAAAAATCATCAAATACACACATGCATTGACCGCTGCTACAATCAATGGCAGAATTTTTTCAACTCGGGTCATCGTCATTGGGTTCTCACCTTTTTATCATGGCCACCACTAGCAAGCAATTTTCCATCAGATGAAAAGTGGCAAGAGGAGACTTTGCTTTGGCTTGCTCTAACAGAATTTACTTCCGTAAATGTGAATCCTGAAGGTTAAATGCACTCCTTATAGATAACATACGAAAGCAGAAAAGGCTCAAAAATAAATTCAATTTTACTTATAGTCACCCTAAATGCTATTTAAAGTTTAATAGTTTTAACAGTCGTTATCTTAGACCACTCTGATAACCATTTTGTTTTGGTATTTCTGTTTTTGAAAAGAATCCCTGCCACGTTGAGACCATGACCAAACCCCTCCTTTCACTTCTAAATTACAAAATTCTGCACCACTTCACATTCCAGTATTCACCATAGAAGTATCCACTTTGTAGCCTTCTGCATTACCAAGAATAAGAAATATAAAGCAAAAAGCCAAAGTCTAGAGATGCACTCTTTCTGTTGCCACGGCCCACAGAAGAAACAGCTCACAGGGTCTTCTCAAAGTGCTCGCATTATAATTATTAGATCACTTAATAGATGGAAAATATGCAAGAGGCACAAGGAAGCCTCCTTGATGGCTAGCCTCTCTCCTCAGATGCAGAGATAGAGTGGTGAAAGGATAAAATGGAGACTATCGTGAATCATGCACTTCACTTAATCGTGCACTTCACTTATTGGCAATCGCAAAAAGCAGTATAATAAGGAGAGAGCAATGTATAGCATTAACTGCACCTTTGCTGCTATCCATACAGCGGCTTACAGGATCTCTAGGGTCGGTATCATCATGGGATAAAAAAGACTCCACGTTGTCATCAAGAGACCCATCCTCCACAAAGCGGTCCATATCAGCCTGCAATTCAAGTTCTTTATCATCCCACTGCCAAAATGGAATGCCAATGAGAAAGTGCAAAAGGAATTGTTTAAAATTCCTTTGATGGAAACAACTACCAAGCTCCACCTACCAACTGATTTGAGGGAGATGTAAAAGTGCCAGGGCCATCACCGCTGAACATCATCAATGGTTTAGATGAACCACCACTGTGAGGCAAAGCAGGCATTGAGATTGCATCTCCAGGTGTGTGGGTTGAGGGAGTTGAAGGAGCAGAGCTTGGGGATGGGCCTGCAGTATTGGCTGTTCCCGAGCTATTTGCTGGACCTGAAGATGACACTGGCTGCTTCCTCTTTCTCCCAGTCTGATTTTTTGAAACCTGCAAATGAAATATCAAAAAACATTTTAAAAGCTAACCAAATAACAGAGAATATATTTACTTATACTCAAAGGTTCTATAATTATCATCTAACCATATGATCTGTTATCAAATTCACAAAAAGGGAATTAGCAGCAAAATTCCCAGCCCTAGGCATCCTCCATTATCATCTTAGTAGATATGATCGGCTTGCCATGTGGAAATAATAAAGTGAACAAGTAATAATGAAAAACTAAACTGACATGCATATGCATAACAATAATATGAGCAATTACGGGAGGCACTCACTATTGTGTAAGTGACAATCTGAGTAACATTCAAAATGTATCATAGAAACTTAAGAAAAATATAAAATTTTTTAGTAACAGTAAGGATCACCCATATTCACTAGCAGACCTGGTCATTTCCGCGAAATGAGTTTGACATGCTACCATCCATGGTGACACTACCAGCACCCCCAATTTTTTCTTGCTGATGCATATTGTGGTTTGAGCTTTGTGACTGTTGATTTGAAAGAGCATGCTGCTGAAGTTGCTGCTGCTGCTGCTGCTGCTGCTGGCTACTATTCTGTTGCTGCTGATGTTGCTGCTGTAATTGAGCCATTTTTAACTAAGGGAAACAAGACATACTTAGAAACTGGGCCATGAAGTGCTTTTTTTTTTAATGAAGAAACCAACTTTCTTGGAGAAGAAATGAAAGAATAAGGCCATGAAGTGTATATCCAGATATAGGGACAAAAACTGCAAAAGCATCCATAAGAAATGTAGTTGACAGAGAAAATGAACACCTTAATCATCATGTCTGGGTCTGTGCGGGGCAAAAGAGGACTGCCAGCTTGGTGAGGAGATCCAACATTTTGAACATCACCAACAGAATTTGAAAGTCCATCCTTTGCAATTCTACTGCTCAAAAGCATTCTCAACCTTCTACTGTCGTCACCAACAGGAGGTGAGGTTAAATTCTGTTGTGCGAGCATAAGTTGCTGTTGATGTTGTGGTGTCAACATCTGAAGCTGAGGAAAAGCCTGAGGAGCCTGTATGAAAGGTTTTTGTTGCTGAAGGATACCAGAACGGAGCTGCTCTAGCCCCTGCAAAAGAAAAAGAAAATTTGAATGTCAAAAAAACCCAGCAACTTGGATTCCGTGCATCCTACATATTAATGTAACGATTACAGAAATGAAGAGATTCAATCATTAAAACATACAGTAAGTGGCCATCCCTTTAAGGTCAAATTATTGCCGCCATGGTTTGATCCTGAAAGGTGATTTCATTTCAATTGTAAGATGCACATCTAGTAGTAGCAGACAAGAAATTTATCTTTAAACAGAAAATCCTTGGTACAGCATATGAAGATTGAGTAATTGAAACATAAGGCATGAGGATTTCAATCAAATCATAATTCCACAAATAGTCCTCAAAAACACAATAATTTGGCAGTACCAGGAATACCCATCAGTGATCCCTCAGGGCCTGCAGCTCTAGGATTTAAAACTGGATTAATCTCGCTCTTTATATCCTGCATCTACAATTTTTGTTAGGATAAAAAGAAAGAATACAGTATGCAATGAACTTGATAGAAGTACCATACCGGTGTGGAACCTGGCAATTGCTGGCTCCTAGATTGAACTTGAGGAGACATTCCCCCAGCTGAACCATGTAACACTTGCCTGTAATTAGAACCCTAAAGCTAGTAAGGAAGAGCATTGGCATCCAGTGCAACAGCTAGTGACGAATGAGAATTAAACTAAAGCAAATAGAACTATTTAAAATATCCAAATCCAATTCCAATAATTGGAAAGGATGTGTAATTTTGTGCATGGCTTTGTGTTTTATGTGAATGCAGTAATAATGAGAAAAATATCTAAGAGAAAAGCACCCTGAGGACTGGCTGGTTGCTGCAGCTGACTTTAGGATCGAAGCATGACTTGGGTCCAACAGCTGCCCAACATTTTCGCCATATCTTTGCTGTAAGATTTACAGAAGATGATTAAGTAAAAGTAATAAGAACCTATGCTTATAAAAAAACCTAATCAGTATACCTACTTTCAGAGCAGCATCATCTAGAGAATCCCTCTGAAGGGGCAGTTTTAATCTATCCTCGTACATTTTTGTAGCCAATGCATTTACAGATCCAGGATTCTGGCGCATAAGAGGATCGTTTCCAACAAAACCATTTGAAGTTCCATTTAAGAGTTGGGCTCCATCTCTTCGCTGCTGTTGCTGTTGCTGGGTCTGTTGTTGTTGCTGTTGAGGCTGCTGTTGCTGCTGATGCTGTTGCTGCTGCTGTTGTTGCTGCTGCTGTTGGGCATGTCTCTGCATCAGAAGCTGCATCTGCATGTGTTGTGGTTGTTGTTGCTGTGGCTGTGGCTGCTGCTGCTGTTGTTGATGTTGCTGATGTTGCTGATGTTGTTGTTCTCTTGCTTTTATTAATTGTGTCTATAAAGTTGATAGACTGTAAGTTTCTTTTGCATGAAATTTAATATCTCGTGAGAATCTTTCTATGGTTTTTGTTAGTTCCAACTTCCGAAAGGTATATGTGAAGAGAAAGAGTAACTTGGTTTATATTAGGACTTGAGGCTTTTTATGCAATCTATAAATTAATTTCTAATTCTAATACATCTATGAGAAATTGCATCTAGAAAGTGTTATGAATCAAGATAAAAAAATAAAGTGATACAATAACTTCCAAGTATTCGAGGTACCCTCTCTTGAGTCTTGAGATCACTCAAACCTACACTCACTAAACAATTACCTACCTTCCTTTTCCTCACTCTATATATAACCAACTTCTACAAATAAACTCCTTGTCTAAAATTACCACTATCCCCTCAATACCCTCCTAATGTTTCTAACTACCCCAATAGTATTCCTATTATATAGATTTCAAATTCAGGTTCAGCAACTACTAAAATAAAACCTAAGCAACAGGTAGGTCATTCTAGGAAACTTCGTAAAGAAAATGATAAATGAAGAGAACCAACACATTCCAAAACATTATTCTTTCTTTTAGGAAATATAAATATATACTATAGTTTTTTACCATTTTACATCTTGCAAGACGCAAAGTTTAATTTTTACAGCAAAATCATGTCAACGTAGGGATAAAGGGCTTGTCATAAGAAAACAATAATATTTCTTGCATTTGAGAGTAATTTTAATTCTCTCTAATATAGACAATGCCACTACTGGTAGAAACAATAATGTCAAGCAGAATACATCCGGTAAGGAGATTTAATAAAAGTATGCTTGTAGTTAGCCTATTTTCAAGAAAATACCGATGCCTTTCATATATCAAAATTTTCTACTATTGACATTACTCCTCAACTTGCATGGAAAGGGGAGAGTAAATTTGCAGTTTGAAATATCAATCAAGAATCAATATTGACTTAAGTCAACAACTCTATATTCAGCTCCAAAACAGTAACAAGAAAAAATAATTAGTTCTTCAATATGAGAGTAGGATGAAATATAAACAGCTTTAAACTGCAAACTTAATACCAAATGCAGAAAGTCCATTTCTCTTGTCTAAGAAGATCGACATTGTACAACAAACCTCGATATAAGATGCAGCAACCTCTGAGTGCTTCTCATTAGTCCTGGCAATGAATATATCCCAGAATACCGACCACCATTCGAAGAGAAAACCTCCAGGTGCATCGATAGCTGTAACACCAGAACTCATAAATCATTATTAAAATGAGCGAAGGGTAAAATAACATTCCATATGGAATCAGCAAATGAAAAAATATCCGAATATACTCACCCACAGGGTCCGAAGACACTTTTCCCTCTGCTTGAAAGGCCTGCGCAGTAGCCTTCAAATCTCTCTTTACTAAATAATCATGAATATACACATCTAACCTGTTACATAACGGTGCGCCAAGTACAAGAACAACTTTCCAAGTTAGGGGGTAATTGAGATTTCCCGTGGGAAAGACAAGGAACCGAAAAGAAAGAAAGCTAACACTGAAGCACAATACTTTAACGTTCAAAGATAATGGGGAACTAGAACAAACTGAAACAAGGGTTTGACAAAAGTAAGACAAGTTATCGGCTAAGTTGAAATCAGTCCTAATGAGAAAACCTGAACCCTAAATCCCCGAAAACGAAGTAACCAAATGCCAAATGTTCGCGCGCTAATTTACCCCCAAAAAAAAGGGTCGTCAAATCAAATTAAGTGGTATACCAGAAGCAACAAAATTAAAATTAAAGAAACCCCAATACCAAATCCACAAAAAGGGAGGCAAGAAATCCATAGAAGTGACAGAAAAAGAAAGAAACCCAAGTAGAAAAAAGGGGGGAAATGAAGCGAAACCCAGAAGAAACTTACATTTTATCAGCTTCCCAGTTGGTCTGAGACATCTTCTCCAATCCAAGCTCTGGCAGAAGAGTGGATAAACAAAGAAAAGACTGTTAGTTTCTTGAAAAACAAGCTCCAGCTGCTCCTGTAGAGCTCTTTCCGGCCAAAACTACGAAACCCAGAAGTGAAAAAACAACGACCCTTTTGGCTAAAACCATAGAAGAATCCAGAAATAGGAAGAAGAGTAAGAAAGTGCAGGGGGAGAATCTACGCAAGGGGAATTAGAAGCAGAGCCTCTGATTCCAGCAACGGAAGTATAGAATGTAAGGCCGTATTATTATTGATTATTTCATCAAACCAATTTTTTTATATATATTAATTTCTTTTATATATATATATATATTAGAAGAAGGAAGGATCGAAATAGATACCTGCAATCCAAAAACGTATTTTTGTTCCAAAGCTTTTTGCTTTTATTTCGAGAGCGGAAAATTATTTTTCTCATATCCGTGGGCCTTGGACGAAAACTAGTTCTTGTTGCAGATATCATAATTGCCTTCATTCGTATTGAGTTACCATATTACCCCTCATTTCCAGTCCAATTTTCGGTATATCAGCGAAACTCTGCTCTGGGTGGTTCTATACAAGAAGGGTCGCTTCGTACTTTCGCTCTGCCCTTGATCTGCTGATGAGTTTACAATCTGAGGTTTACACTCTTTTGTAATTACAAAATTGCCCATTATAACTTTTATATTTGTAAAATCCCCTCGTGTATTGTTTTAAATTAATATTTCGTTCCCATGCGTTGCCTCGTGGTAGACGGTTCAGGACTGCTGCTTGGTCTGACTCTGACCTTGGTTAAGAAATTGCAGAATACCTAATTTGACCTTGTATTTGGGATTTTATTTTCAAGTCCAATTTGCTAATATGGTAAAAAACTAATAACTAATTACAAATATAGCAACCAAATTTCTTATTTATAAATATAGTAAAAGATAGAGGTTTAATCCAAATAAAAAAAAATTAAAAAGTCGGTATACCTTTAAAACTCGCAAATTTATAGAAATAAGAAAAATTCATTAATATACTTGATATTAGATATATCAATTATTATTTTATATTAGTCAACCAGAATATAGCTCAATTAGTTAAGGTACTTATCTCCAACAAAATATCGTGAGTTCGAATCTCTACCTCCATATGTTATACTAAAAAAAAGTATTAATTTGTATTAGTTATTTTAATGATAAACTGAAAATAAAGTATATCACTGATATACTTAATGTTGATATATCAATAAGAAATCTTTATCTTTTCTTGAACTATAACAATTATTACTTCATATTGGTATATCACTAAAATGAAGCATATAATTGATATATTTGATATATCAATAAAAAAATTTACAATATTATCCACGGCAAAATCTTCAAATCGAATAAGAGTTACTAGTGATATATCTAATATAAAGTATAACATTCATATATTTAGTGTGACTGGTTTACTTCGTATTTGGTATATTAATTATATGATTGATATACCAAGTATATAATTGAGATTAAAATAAAAATAACAAAAACAAAATATGATTTAGAAATTTTTATTGTATTTCCAGGACAAAAAGTTATTGCTATATTTGAAAATATAGTAAATATTTTTGGCACTCGTTAAAAATACCTTTGTTTTTCCTCAATATACATTTTTTAATTTATTTATATCATTCCAAATATGAAATATTTTTGAATTTGTGTTTTTTTTTTATCTATCATTCCCATGCTCTTATTCTTTGTCGTTAGTATCCATGGTCAGTTATTTGTAGAGTATTAGAAGTGAAAAAATATGTAGATATTTGAATCCAAACCTTTACCATAAGCTACTAGTGTCTCGAAGCTGGACTAATTTAGTTATATTCATAGTGGTGATAATGTATTTGACGGAGTTCTTTTAATTTTTTTTTTAATAATTACATCACCAATATCGAAGCAGGACTTTATTTTACCGCATAAATAAATGTTATGCATGATTTATATGTTTGTCTTCTTGAGAATACGTAGAGATTCACCCCTAGACGATTAGTAGCTATTATGACCCTTATTTTTTTTAGATAAAGTAGCTATTATGACTTACGCTAATAATTTAAATAAAACAACAATAATAATTGTGCATTTTTATGTTTTAGCAAATAAGTTTTTGTTTTATACAAAATTTGGAAACAAATTTTAAATACCAATCCTTAATTGCACCTATGTGAAAGCATGCAATAGTTTGATGGAGAAATTTCATTGACATGGTTTTTTGTTAAATTTTTGGATATTGCTATATTCCTGGGTAATTTATTGCCAAGATTTTGTGCATTTTATCTATGGGACAAATGGTAGTGTAATTATGTTTTACATTTCTATACCTTTAATTTTTTTACAGCTAAGTATTTACCATTTTTTTATTCTATAGATATACAACGCCAATATTACTCAATTGGTTAAAATACCAGACGACATATAATACGATAAGTTGTACCAACACTACTTTGAAATAAATTCTAAAAATTCATTAGGCATCACATAAAAAAAAATTCAAAATTAAAAAATACAAGTTCATATATCTTTCACCTATCCAACTTGCTGTAATAAAAATGTTAACGTACACATGGTTAAGTTTTAAGTTTTAATAAAGAAGGTAAGTAATTACTAATATCGTCATCTGGGTTGGTTTCTTAATTAATTTTCAGTTGAGTACCACGGATACAATCACTCAGTTTTATTTAGAGGTTCAAATTTCAATGAAATAATGAAATCAAAGCAAATAGACATAAAATAACCCAGCGAAAATTAATTGGGCAGAAAGTCGTGTGGAATTGATTTTACTTATTAAATTTATGAACCGATTACTTAATTACTGAAAACTGAATGAAATTTTAATAATTAAAATCAATATTCTTACATAGTTTCAATAACAAGTAATGGCGTTAGTGATTTTAGTATTTTGACGACCTCTAAAAGACTTATAAATCTTCCTATATTAAAACTCATTTAGTTATGCATCTAAGTTCTAACTCAAATCACGTCTCTCAAATTTAAGATTTGAAGTCTAAAGTAATTAGCATATGACCATAAAATTAAATGCGACGTGGACAAATAGAATATTAAAACTCATTCAATTAAGAGAATTAAAGGATAATCCATAAAATTTAATAGTTATATCAATCCATAAAATAAGAGTTTAGCCACATTTAAAGTAAAATAATAAATAATGTCAATGAGAATTTTCATACCAAAACTAAAAAAATTAAGGGAAAGGATAAGAAGTTAAGTTCGGCATTTCGATCGTCCGTTCTTGAAACGACCTCCACCGTCACAAACATTGAAAATCTCTCTTATCAACTCTTCAATGGTCTCCTTATCCTCCAAATTGGCCAAAAATGCAAACGACCAATAAAAAGAAATCTAAGAGATTTCTCCTTGGTGGCACAAACAAATCTTCCTTTTATAAGAAAATTGCGACAGCTTTGAGAGGTTTCATGAAACAATGTTGAGACGTTATAAGGTAGCGTCTCAACAAAATTTCATCCAGTTATGGGCTCAATTCCTTGTTGCGTACTCCTCGAATCATTGACTCCAATTTGTCTCTCAACTTAATTTGATCACTAATTATCTTTCGTTTCCTCCTGATACTTCATTCCTACAAAATATGTATTTTATCTTAAATTTGTTATAAATAATATGAAAGATAAAAAACAACTAAATTATAATCCTCGTGAAATATAGATCACACAGTGCGCTATCATCACTTACCCAACTCATATGTTATTAAAACAAAAATTAGTTTATCATGGAGCTTATATTTTGCAGCACTCATGAACAATATGACGTGTTATAAGTTTGTTACCTCTCACATATCATAGGGATGTATTTTTTGTCAATCCGAATTTAGCTTAATTAGTTAAGACACGACACGAATATCCGATCAAGAAATTGTAAGTTTGAATCTCCACCTCTATGTATTGTTGTATTTATAAGAAGAAAAAAAAACATATTTCTTTTTCTAAGAATTGCGTAGGATGTTTACAAGTTTTAGTCCAAAGACAAAGAAAATGATAAATCTTTTAAAAGTATAGAGACAAATTTTTTAATAACTTATATATTCAAATTAAAACTAATATTAAAGTATAGAGTTTAAAATTGTAGCTTTATATGATTAAATTTTGAGTTCAGCTCAAAAACATTTTAAACTGATCTATTTACTTTGAGTTTCAAAATTTTCTTACTCGAATAACCCATTTAAACAATTAACTAGCCATACTTTTTCTTTTCATCTCAACAATTATTAGTCGTCTTATTGGATGGGTTAGTTCAATTTCATCCAATTTTATTTAAAATAAATTATATCAAGATGATACCGTAAAAAAAGCAATAAATGTTCTTACCAAATTGAGCTAGATTCGAATTAGCGATTTCATAACATATTTTTAACTTGTAATGAAATCATATACTCTTTGATCTTATGATTGTAGCATAAAATACATAAAATAATTATTAGGTGAAATAATAATATATTTGAAGAAAAATAACTAGTTTAATTCTAAGATTCACGTACTCTTCTTTAGTTTAAGTATTTTTTTAATGACTTTTCAAGTACTTGAATTTCAAAAGTATCCATCACTTTGAGCCATTTATCTATAGTCCTCTCTCAAATTGTTTATTCAGAAAGAGGTTTCAAATCAATCTAATCTTTTTTTATGATTTTTTATTTACTAGTAAATTTTCAAACGAAAATTTATGAAAAGGAAAAAATTGAATTTTAAGGGGGGGGATACAATTATCTAAATTTGACGTGCAATTGGATGAAATTAATAATAGATTTGTTGAATAAATATATTTACAATACTTTAAATATTTACAGATTTTTGGAAAACGTACTCTAAACGGATAAATCGGCATCCGCATCAGCAATCAAGTTCTAAAGTATTGGAGATTGGGCCGGTCCATTAAAACGAAAACAAAACGGGTTGGCCCATTAGGTCCGCTAAGATCCACTGGGCCTGGTCGACCTCGTTGGACTGGAGGATTCCCCATCCACCGATTTCGTCGTACACGAAGCCATTCCCCCCGATCCCCTCTTTTTTTTTCATTTTAAAATTAAAAAAAAAACATAATTGAAAAGCATCAAAAAAATTAAATCTCACAAAAAAGAAAAAACAAAATAAAATAATTACATAATTATGAGAAAAATAGTTAAAATAAATAAAAAAAGAGAAGTAGCATATTGTTGATGTGTTTGAGATGAGATACATTAAATAATATATATTTAATCGAACATAAAAAGAAATACGAGGTAGTTTTGGGAAAATATAAATGGAAGTGAGAGAGAGAGAGAGAGAGGGGCATTGAGAGGTCTTTCTCTTCGAATAAACAATACGCATGGTGTCAGCTTAAGCGAAGCTGCCACCAAAAGCAACATGCCACTGAGATCACAAGTGGGCCCCTTTTTCCTCCATTCTTCCTCTTCTGGCCCCCACCTTCCCTTCTCTTCCATTTTCATTTCTTTTCCTTTTTTACTTGTATATTTTCCAAATGCCACCTCATGTCAACGTGTCGTGGAAGGTAAATCTGGCCACATGAGTTGAAAGTTTAAGAAGGTATTAGATATCTTTTAAAGGCGAGTGATTTGGTAGATACGATATTGAAAGTTTAGGTTAGAGACATTAGACATATGTTAGATACTTTTAAAATTAACATTTTTTTAGTACGATTATGTGAGATGTGAGGATTTGAACTTCTAATATAAAGAGGACGAATATATGTCTTCTTTAGTGTTAAATTTATACTCACGTTGGCGTGTGATTTGATCGGGTGTTGATTTCAAATTTGGCTTATGTGATCTAGAATCAGTTTCAAGACATAAAATGGTCAAAATGCTAACTTTTAGTTTTTGTTAATTTTGATCTTTATATTTTTAAAATGTTGATTTTGGTACTTATATTTTCAATTTTGGTTCATTTTAGTCATGGTAATTTTAGAAATGGACCATTTCAGTCCACAAATACGGATAAAATAAACCATTTAGTATAAAGTAATGGTTACATTTCAATAAATATATTTAGTACAGCATCGTGTTAAAAATCGTGTGATAGACAAATAAATTAAAAATAAAATTAAGGAACCAAAACGGTCACTTTTTAAAAGTATTGAAATCAAAATAAACATTTTAAAAATACAATAATTAAAATGAACCAAATCTAAAATTACAAATATAAAATGAATTAAAGATGAAAGTAAAACCACTAAAATATTATTTTAATCGTTAATTTTGTACGTGACACGTTTTTGTTCAAACCTAACACGTGGAGATGCAAAGATGATAAACCGATTAATCCAATTTAGAGACATGTTTTAAGAGAGATTTAAACTAAACTAATTAACTATAGAGTCTAAATATAAAGTTTTTTGGAACCACAAAGACGAAAAATGAGATGGAGAGCATGGGGGATGGCATGCATGCAGAAGCTCCAGTGATTGATCAGTACAAATGCATGCCATGTCATGCCAACTTATACTTTGCATTTGCCATATGCACTCCCCATCACCCACTCGCGCGTGCACCCCACTCTCCGGCTCTGCCTTCGAGTTTAAACGCCACGCGCGGACGGAGAGCGTGGGTAAAATCAATCCACGAATAGAGAAGACTGGAGGGTGGGTGTCTTACAATAAAACCATGCAAATCTGCCTCTGTGTCTCTCTGCCAAGCACACAGAAACAGACAAAAATAATAGTAATAAATAATGAAAAAACTCGCATCGCCAGTACAAAATAAATAAATAAATATATATATATATATATTAAATTATAAATTTAATCCATAAATTATAAAACTATATCCAAAAAGCTCATATACTCAGGAGAGAATATCAAATTTTGATTTTTTTTATAAACTAGTGTACTTTTATTTTTCTGTTTTTAAAAACTAGAGTTGATATATGAATTATTAGCCAAATTTAAAGATAAAAAAAAGTTTTAAAAACTATTTTTTTCCCCAAAATTTACCTTAGATTTTGAAAATATCCATAAAAGGAAGATAACAAATAAATGAACACATGGGTGAAAGTAAGGTTTCTGAACTTGTTTTCTAAAGGAAAAAAAAACGAAATGGTTATCAAATGAAGTCTTTTATAAATTATCAAGAGGTCATCGATAACAATTTTATTTTAAAAAATTATGATTTTTTTCTACAATTTTATACAAGTTGACATATTTGAATTCCTAAATAAATTTAAAAAATCACAAACAAATTTTTAAAAATAGATAACAAAATACAAACGAAAAAATAGATAACAAAATAAGTAAACACCATGAACAAAATAATACGTATATTCAAGCTTAATTTCTAAATAAAACAATTATAAAAAAATGAAATAATTATCGGAGTCGAGAGAGATGAGGTGGAGACGGAAAGGGTGATTAGGAGTGAGAATGGGGAGAGAGAGAGGATGACGTAAGAGTGGACGTAGGGGGCGTGGTTGGAAGCGTGTGATGGGGATTTGGGAATGGGTTTTGTTTGAAGTTTGAACTGAGGCGTTGGACTTTTGCTCTTCTGTATTGAATTAAATTCAGATTGTCTTATGGCGGCAGAGAGAAGGAATACGAATATATGAATATTATGAATATGGGGCGTGCCGTAACACAGAGATAGAGAGAGAGAGAGAGAGAGAGAGGGGCTTGCATCACCACAGCACCACCAAGAAACAGACTGAAAAATGAAATGAAATGAAAGGAAGAGAGAGAGAGAGAGAGAGAGAGAGAGAGAGAGAGAAGAGAGAGGGTTCTGAAAGCTTCGTACCATGGGGCACTGCTCTCTTCTCTGTGGGTTACAAGAGAAGGGAGTGCCTCAGAGCCCCATCATTGTCTCAATAATCACCTCTCTCTCTCTCTTTCTCTCACCAACTTCTCTCCCATATATTCATCAAATCACGCGCTACTGTTCCTACTACTACTGCTCTACACCACCATTTTACTATCCGTCATTTTTCTCCTCTTTTTTTCACCCTTTCGAAGTATCGATACTCTCGCGTACTTTCTATTCATTGCCTGTCACGCATCACCATCGTATTAAAACTGATGTATGCTATGTGAATAATGTTTAATCTATGCCGCTTGTTGTTTGTTGTTTATAGAGAGACTTATAGTACAATATGTTAAGTATCCCACGTTGAAGAGATGAGAGATCTAACAATAGTTTATAATAGACATGGACAACTTATTTCCTTGCAAATTGGTTTTAATATGGTGTTAGAGTCCAAAAGCTCAAATGAGCATCCGGTCCAAACATGAGACCGACGAGCCAAAAGAGCCACGATCTTGAGTGGGCATGTTAAGAATCCTACATTGAAAAAATAATTCGTTTTGAAATGGAACTCCATGACTATTAATACAATAAGAATAGAGTATATATACTAGCTTTTTTTATTCACTGCTTACTACGTCAGCGTCATGCTAAAAAATGACGTGGAGTCTACCAATATTAGAAATTCTTTATAAAGGTAAAATTAATATATAGTGTAAACCAATGGAGTACCGATAGCACTAGAATTGGAATTGACTGCTCATTTGTTTTAATAAATAAAATATAAGCTATTTTGCATTTCTATATCTTATTTATAATTAATTTAACGATAGTGAGTGAGGGATGGATAACGACCGAGTAAGCACCTAAGTGTGAACAAAAAAGAAAACTTAGTATTGACTTGTTATAAATTACGATTGAACTTTTGATGGGTGGAAGGGAGAAATGCATGAAGATAGTTGCTCACTCCATCTAATTTTCCTGTTACTTACTCTTCTCTAGTACTAAGCTTTAGCTCTTCATATATTAAAAAAAACGATCCTAAGAGAGATTATCTCAATTTCATCCATTTACCTGATCTATTTCATATATTAAAATGTTTGTTAAATATAAAAGATAGTTCCTAATCTAGGTCTCACTTGGGGTCCTTTGTACTCCTTTGATCTTTAAAATATATATATATATATATATATATATATATACACAGGGTAAAATGTTTTTTAATCAACTTTTTTATAAAAATGTTAATCCAATTTAAAATGGGACATTTGCAAGGTGAATGAAAAACAAAATGGGGGCAGAAAAGAAATAATATTAAAAGAAATCACAAACAAACAAACCAAAACCAAATGGGGCTTGCAAAAAGGCTGCCCAATTTTGAAACTATTGATATTATTATGAATTCTTAGACTTGGACAGTCAAAAAAGGCTGGATGTGGGAATTGAAATGGATAGGGCTGAACAAAAACCATTCAAGAAAATAGTGAGAAATGACCCCAAATGTCACTTTCCCTAATCATTTTTGCCTTATTGCTACCCCTTTTCGATATTTCCATATCTTATTTTCATTCGAGTTCGAATCTTCACTTTCATATTTATAACGTCAAGTCAAAAATAAATATTTTAGATTTGTGACCAAATGAGAATAGATACATTCTATTTTGAGATTTTCCCCCTTCTGTACAAAGCTTCATTGACAACAACCAAAAAGACATGAAACTCCCCATGCAAAATTGCTGCATTTACAAATCAACCCCAAGAAGAGAGAGGAGAGAAAAAAAAAAGAGAAAATTACATCATACCCCTTCGTTAGGTGGAAGAAGAATAACTAATTAGTAATTACCCCCATGTAATCTAATCCCCAAAGTTTTCTTTTCTTTTGGTTTAACTAGCTACTTCATTTTCTTTTGGATTCTTTGAGAACGATCACGTAGGAAGAGGAAGAATTGGAAGAGTTATTCTTGCCATCTTTCCCCGTCGCAGTCGCCACCGTTGCCCGCCATTGATCGGCGATGTCGTGGGCAATCTTCATGGCGTCCGACGCCGTTCCGAGTAGCCCCCTCCGAGTAAACCCAACCGTGTACAACCCCTTCTCGCCCTTCCACCCGTTCGGAAACGGGGTCTTCGGCATCCCATCCTCGGTGAAAAAATCACACCCCTGCTGCAAAATAATCCCATAATCACATAAGTACAAACCCTAAACCCGAAATCATAAACAAAAGGTAAATTTATGAGCTTGTTTTTTTCCCGTCACCCAAACAGAAACAAAGACTGACTTTTTTCGGGCAGAGATCTCACGATGGGAGTTTTTATAATTGACACACAAGTTTTTTGTTTGATGTAAAAATTACATCATAAATATGGGGAAAAGCTGGAAAAGGGTAAGGAAAAATCGAAAGAACCCAACTGACATATTCTATTTTGCATGGAGAAAAGAATAGGTTTGTAGGGTTGTGCAGTCTGTGCATGAGTCCAATGACCTAGAAAATGATGGGTGATTCATAAAAAGATAAAGCAAAAAACTAAAATCAATTAATAAGATTTATATATTATTTTTTATATTAATTTGTTTTACCTTCAGCCAACTAGGCACATTGCTTCTGTACCCAGTTGCCAAGATTATTGAATCAAACTCCTTCTCTTGTCCATCTATGAATTTTGCTCCATTTCTTGTTATCTCTTTTACTCCTTCCATCACCTTCACCAAACAAAACAAAACCATTTAATATTAGCTAAAAAAAGAAAAAAAAATTAATAAGTTTAATTAATTAATTAGAACGAATTAAATTACCTTGATCTTTCCTGATTTGATTTGGGAGAGAGCTCCGACGTCGAGAACCGGGGTTTTCCCGGTGGCGTTCTTGAGCTCGAGGGGGCCGGTTTTCGGGCGCCGGAGACCTAGATGATCGGTGTTGCCGAGGGTGAGGTTGGCTACTAGTAGAAGAATCTTGTCCACCAGTCGGAGAGGTAGCCATTTCAGCAGCCCCATGGCTATTCCAAATGTTGAGAATCCAAACATCTCTCTCGGAAGCACATGAACCTACCCGCCATTGAAAAAAATATATATAAATAAATACAATTAACTTTTTCACTAATTTACCAGCACTAAAATAAAAAGTTACGGTTGTAAATATTACTAATTATGCTGTTTTCTTTACTTTTCTATCTACTTTTGGAAAAGATTTCAACCTCGAATGAAATTTCTAAAAACTTAATAAATAAAAGAGAAGTTTTTAGAACGTATTTATATTCTTTGAATTTAAGTAAAAATTTAAATGTCTTTTGAATTGTGAAAACATATGTCAAGAAGAAGTGCATAGTTTTTAAAAATAAAAACTTTAAAGACTCTACTTAATAATCACTTCGTTTTTTATTTTATGTTTTTTAAAATTATGTTTGCTTCCTCATTTTTCTGCTAAATTTTAAAAAGCAGAAAATTAAAGATAAAATAGTTATAAATGGGTGGTTAAACGGTTATTAGAGGAGTAAAAATTACGAAAAAGAAATAAACTAACCGTGTTTCTAACAACCATGTGAGGAACGGCATTTTGTCGACAGAGGTCCAAGCTAACTTCCATACCGGAATTCCCACAACCGACGACCAAAACCCGCCGGTTTTTAAATTCCGAACCGGACTTATACGCGCTAGTATGAACCACCGGTCCCCGGAACCGGTGGATCCCCAAAATCTCCGGGACGACCGGCTCGGCATTCTCGCCGGTGGCGACGACGAGCCAGCGCGAAATGTAGTCCGTGTCCTGCGTGGAGACCCGCCAGAAGCCGGAAAGGGCGTCGAATTCGGCCGTCCGAACGGCCTGATTGAACCGGGGGTGGATGGAGAAACGAGAAGCGTAGGATTCCATGTAGGAGATGAACTGGTCCTTGGTGGGATATTTGGGGAAATTTTCGGGGAAACCCATGAGAGGGAGCTCGCAAAATTGCTTGGGGAGATGGAGTTTGAGGCGATCGTAGGTTCGGTATTGCCAGAGAGAAGCAATACAGTCGGTTTTCTCGAGAATGAGAGAGGGGATTTGGTTCCGCGAGAGACAGGCGGCGGCGGCCAATCCCGATGGGCCTGCCCCTACAATTATAGGCCCATGAACCCACAGCCGCTTGCGCCGATCGTGTTCTTGTTCTTTGCAAGAACCCATAAAACCCCCTAATTTCTCTGTTTCTTTACACGTTCCCCTGTTTTCACCTGTTTTTTGTTGGGAAGGGATGAAGAAAGAAAGGGGAGTCAATGGGGTGTTTTGGGATGAAGAGTGGGGTATAAATGGTGGGTTTTAGAGAGAGAGAGAGAAAAACAGAGAGAGGAGTGAGAAGGAGAGTTAATGGAGGCGTGAAGGAAAAGGGAAAGGATTTGGTTTCAGTATCTCAAGGCTCTTTCTTCTCAGCGGCTCTCTGCTGCACAGTTTGTGGAGATGTTATGTTGTGTTTATGTGAGAGTTGGGGGCTAAGTGGTGAGGAAAATACCCCATCGGAATTACATATAAATACATTTTTTCCTCCTTTCTTTTTTGTTTTCTCCTTCGAGGGATATTTTTCTTCCAAGTAAAATGTTTATTTTCCCAAATACAGTAACCATATTGTTCGATTTGGACCTCACAATTTTTTTTTCATATATGGGTATCTTGACAAGTTGAATTGTGATTGCGACAATTTATCACTTGTTGTAACCCAACATAATCAAATTAGAATTTGATTGTTTAAAAAGAATTAGACCTTTCTTTTTTTATTGATACTATTCAGGTTAGTTCTTGAATTTTTTTAGTTAAAAGAAAAAAAAAATTATAGTACGAGAATTTGAACCTTTCTATTTGAAAGTAAAGTAAGAAATACTGCTTACTTATAAGTAATAATTAGTGAGAAGCAATTTTTAAAATCTAAAAACTTGGTATAAATTGTTTTTTTTTAAAGTTGCATGACTCCTTGTAGTTAAGTTTTTTCTAATTCATTAGTGATGGACAATATCGTGAAAACTTATTATCAATCAATTTTAATATTTATTAATAGATAAAATGTGATTGAATCATGTGAAAATGTAAGGGATAACTGAAACTATTAAAATAATAGGAACAAAATTAAAGCAATACACAAACGTTGGAGACTAACATTAATATTTGATTTCGTATTAAATATTAATAATAAGTAATAAATAAAACGAGATATTTTTTCATTCTAACATAAGATATGATTCAATCTAGAAAAAGAAAAAATGAGTCAATTTATAAAAAATCATTAAAATTAAATTTGCTCATGTGGGTCACGAGCTTTTTTTGGCAATAACTTAAACGATATGATGTATTAAAGATTATATTCTAAATATAAATTATATATTGAAGTCTAATTTGACACTGAAATTCTTTAAATGAAATTAATGATGAATATCATGAATGTAAAGAAACTAAAATTCAATGATTGAACTGCTAAATATATCAACAAATAATCATTGTTATAGTTATTATTAAAACAAAAACAAACAAACAAAAAAGATTTTTTTGCCCATCCTTTCTATCACTTTCTCTTATTAACATTGGAAGCGTGAAGATTGATTCTTTTGAGATTTGGGTTTTCTTCCCAAGTGTTCAAAATCTCGAGAGACATGTCGATATGTCACTTGACATGTCGACGTGTCAAGCATGTCGACATCAACATAGGGAAAAAAGTAGATTCCCCCCACGTCGTCGACATGTCGAAAGGTCGACAAAATGTCTGATATGTCGACTCAAATGTCGACATGTCTTTTTTTTTTTCTTCTTTAAGATTATTTTATTTTCATCATTTTCTTATTATGTCACTATAGTCTATAATTTCGCACAACTTTGATGATTGTAATCTTAGACTGTTCAATGAAACATTCGAATTTTAATACCGTATAAAGTATAACTAATAAGATTTGGAATTTGTTTTATTGATAATTTATAATCCAATCTAGTCCTTACACAATTGAACAATATATGTGAAATATTGACATATATAAAAATTGAAATAAAAAATAAAATATTATTATATACAAATAGTGGTGAAAAGAATAGGTAACTTAATTAATACCAAAAACATGATCTCAGAGGATTTAGTGCACTATCTTGATAACTTTGATATAAATTACAATAGTTCTCCCCAGTCATCCTAGACTGAAAGTTTTGAAGGTAGTTGTTCAAATGGGTAGAATATGAAGCAATATAGATCCTATTGGTAGATAATTTGGAAAAATGACACAATCACGAGGTTGAGGTGTTTGAAAATTGTGTGAATTTGATTAGAAAGTTGGATTGATGATTGATTTGAAAATGTGTTTGAAAAATGGGTAAATTCAAATTTGAAAAGAAAAGGAGGTAAAAAGTAAACATATATGAGTTAATTAGAATTTAGAAATGTATTTGGAAACCAAATCGCTAATTATCTCATTTACAAATGAATCCTATTATGAAAAACACTAAAGAAGTAGCCAAAAGTTTACAATTAAACTTTACTTTACATATTCAAATAATTTTGATCAATCTTCGTTAAAGGAAAAATTTTGTTTTCGATATTTCCATCGACATGGACATTTTCATAATTAAAATGGTCATATTCTTACATTTAATGGTTACAGGTGATCAATTATAGGCTAATTAAGTTACAATTCGAGTTTTATTTGCTAATTCAAAAAATTTCCATCAATTTCCACAATTTCCATTATTTTTCCCGAAATATCCATCGACATGTCCGTAAAATCGGGACCTCGACATTTTCATCGATATCGATACATCGATATTTTGAACACGGTTCTTCCCTCAAATAATAATAATAATATAATAAATTACATAAAAAGAAATCTCATGGATCAAGGGGAGAAAGAAGAGTTCTGAAAAAATGTATTTAAAGAATATAAATTTTTTACCTTCACCTTTCAATTTTTTTTTTGTCAAATTAGATATTAGACTTCCATGAACATATAGATATATTTACTTTCAATATTAATAAGTAGTGTAACTTTTAATTTATGATATATGTCCTCTGGTTCGAAAAATAGTTTTACGTACATTAACTAATTAGAAAACAAATTAATAGTACGAAATCAACAATTACATCCTAGAAAAAAAATAATATTAGAGCTGAATTTTTATTGAACCTATAATTTTTGGGAGATTTGTTCGATGGTTAATTCTGCGTCATACATGTTTTTGTTCAAATTAATAATTTTTTTAGAGATTTTTTATTTACTTTTTTGTTAAAATTAGACAGTAAAAATTATAACATTTCATTAAAGTCTAAATTTAAATGGGACTAAATTGAAAACTTAGGGTGAACGTTGATACATTGTGTTTAATTTAGGGCTAAAATTTGATATGTATTTTTCCTTAAAATTTAATTCATGTAGGAAAATAGCGCGTGGAAGAAGGCGCGTGGGAAATGTGGGACGGGTTTGTGAATACGACAAAGGAAGATGGTTTTGCTAGCTGCCACGTGGATGCGAGGTAGTAATTTTTTATGGTTGTTGCATCGTTGGAAACATAAATGATAACCTTTTGCTAATCCACAGCCGTCGGATCACCATACGTTGGGCGCCTATTTCTTCCATATTATCAGTTATATAACAAATTTAAATCTCCATTCAAAATTATTATATGTTTATCTATTTTCATATGTGTTTTTGTGTATATTATAAATTCATTATTTACTCTATAATACCTGAAATTATTCAATTTAATAAAATATATGTTTAGAACAAGTGACATAGTCACCATATTGACATATAGACAAAATCAAAGAAATAAACACTTTTAAATATTTTCTCGACGAACAATTACTTGACACGTGCAAGTCGGCTCGATTCGAGGTGAGATGGTAACATCTATATAGCAACAAACAGCACATAGTTAAAGCTAAGGTTATTTGCAAAATTATGTTTAAATTAGTTCGAGCCTAAACAGTTTGATAGAGTCTAGTGTAAGCTTACCTCGCTTCTTCTTCCACTCTCGTGTAGTACGATAACGTACATCATCATTATAAAGTTGTTCATAGGTCACATTTGACGTGTCCACTCATTTATACTAAGGGGTCCACATGAATTATTTATAATTTTAAAATCTCACTCATAACATTACAAAAAAAGAAATCTTGATCGAAGACGAACGTATTGACTCATCTATATCTAAAAACACCTGAAAATCGAACCCTCAAGAAATCTTTGGTTCTTGACATAAAAATGAATCATCAAAGCCTTAGTCTTCATACTTATCCTAACGATGAAAACATTCAACCAAATATCCTAAAGTTGAGAAATTAAAGAACTTTCCTTTTCGCAGACCTATTTCCTTAGCCCCATCGATTCTCAATCTATATTCTTCTTCCTTTTCCAAAACAATCAATTCTCAACGTATTGTTTGGTGAGTTTTCACCCTCATTCTAAAGAGATGGGGGAGTATATATATAATATGTGGTGTGGGTCACAACTCAATAATTATTTGTTAGCATCATTATTCTCTCTCTTACAAAATTATACGTCATCTTTATATGATTAAGAGAACGTGCATTATTGTAGAGTTCGTTTTTACTTCATCGATCTATTTAACGTGATATATCATCTATGAAAACAGGTTTATACCATTTAAAGAGTGTCATACATCTGAAACTTCTAAGAGCTATACTCACCTACAACCCTGTTTTCTAGCCTTTTATTCCCTCAATTAATTGGTAGAAGTTTTACTAAGCTTTCAATTAGTTTCTAACTAGAGTAAATATACATAAATTACTATTTATAATCCAAGAGGCAGGGGTGAAGTTTTACCTTCCAACGTGTCTCATATATAATCTACTCAATTTAAAAAATTTGAAAGGACAAATTAGAGAAGATCATTAAGATAAGCTTAACTTCTTTAATAATTTTTTTAATCTAAAACAAATTAAGAGGAGGGAATCGTTCTATCCATGATTTTGAAAAATAGCTTCATCTATTCTTTTAGAAGTTACAATTATTACACATTATTGAGATATATAAACATATTTTATCTAAAATTTTGGTGTTGTAAACTATTATTTTTGGTACATAACTTGCAAAAAACACTTTGAAAATATTATGTACAAGAAGAAGAAAAAATAAAGGTTGGTAGATGTAATTAACAAGATAGAGGCCTACATGATATGGGGATCTAGGGTGGAGCTTCCTTCTCTCTAACACATTACCTAACATTTGGATTGAGAGAGAAATGTAGGGTTTGGAAACTTTCAACCTACCTAGCCTCTTATTATTATTTTCCTTCATGGACTAATTTGCATGCCTATAAATGCCTATGCATATATATATATTTTTTTTTTCCTTTTCTTCAATCCCATTTTTGCCCTCCTCAATTTCTACTTCTTTTCTAGTTCTATTATATATTGATTATCATATAGTACTCGTGATTTTTTCATTTCGAGAGATTAGTTTACTTATTGAGGAGTTTCTTCTATGAAAACGTCT